AGTTGCCGCTGTAGCCACCCCACAAGTCGCTTTACTCTCAGATTTTTTCACTTTGTACCACAACGTTGCAATCTTCAATCTTTTCTTTGCCGATTCGATTGTATTGTTAACGGTTTGGACTTCAGATGTGGAATTTCCTTCCTCTGTAATCGAATTATCCGATGATGATGATATCTATAATTCATATAGCAATTAGGATAAATTGTCTAAGAAAAAAAAATCAAGTATTTCAAATGCTGTATTTGTTACCGTTTGATCTTGAGGTGGTTCAAATTCATTGCCAATACTTCTATCTTCATTTAACTGTGATTCATCATCCAAATTACAATATGAATCAGATGTTTGTGTACTGACGGATTTTTGGATTAGAATTCCTTCATTTTTTACTATTGTCTGTAAATCCTCTTCTATGTTACGTGGTGAATCAATTGAAACGTAATCAAATTCATTTGTTCTTTGAATTTCTTGGCCTTCATAGACGGAACTTGATGTTTTTTCTTTCAGTATATTGTGGTCAAGATGAATTTTGTCTGATTCTGTGCTTTCTGGTGAACTTCGATCACAATAGTCTCCGTTTTGTGGTGAACGCAATTTTCGACTTGTTTGGTTATTGTCCGCACTCATTTTCTTTTCTTATCAAAATATTTTATATTCTTATTAATCGAAATATTATAGAAGCTTGTTCAATGATTGTCTAAACTATTTGCTTGTTTATGGCTGTCAACACTTGCAGAGCTGACAACCAAACAAACACAAATTATGCTATTTTCGACGTTTCATATGTTTGTTATTATTGGCCCATTTCGATATTAGTACAGTTCCCAGTCACAAAACCGATTTATTCATCATATTCATACTTGATAACAGTGTATTTGTGTGTGCGCATAAACAAAATATTATTTCACACTCACACAAATGCAATTATATTCACCGAAAACGCCAACGATTACACTACCTGTGTATCGTCAAATACCCTTACATTATTTTTTAAAGGCAATAATTTTCCGTTCATTTGTCATCAACACAAAGCCAAAAAGCAAAAGCACAATCAGTTTCATAGAATATTGAATCTGTCTCGGTTTCTATTCAAGCAATTGAATGAATATATATATATATATTTATATATATATATATATATATACACACAATGTTTCGCACCGTTTCGTTGCGTTGGAATGAAGGAATGAATTTCGATGTGTATGTGATGTGGATAATGCAGTTAGAACTAATTTTTTTCACTTGTACTAAAATTAATGACAAAGAATTTTTTTTTCTTTTCCTATTAGAAAGAAATTCCATTTAATTCGTTAAATGTAATGAAGAAATCATTTTCAAAAAATTCAATCGAAATTTTCATGAAAAATTTTTCATCAAAAATTATTTGTTGTTCGAATAAATGTTGATAAAAACTGCATTACTGCTCTACTACAGTTGTTCTAATGTGAATTGAAATGCGAAAGACATGATTTGAGCTCAAATTGACAGATCAATTTTAATATATTCAAATACATAGATTGAAATACTCTATAAAAGATTTTTCTATATACTTGATTTTAATTCGAAAAACAAAATCGAACCATAACCATTGATCTAACAAAACGACAACTAATCAAACGTAATTTCATTACGACGATTCTCACTAACATAAGATTTTTTTTCTTTTCAATATTTCGAATATTCACCAACAATTCTATATGCTCATGTGCGAGAGAGAGAGAGAATATTCATGTTTATGCATCTTTGTCATCTGCACTCAACCGTTCCCCATAAGAAATACACACAAAGCAGAGACGTTGATGTTGAGAGAAAGAGGAGAGATAAAGAAGAAACACAAAACCGAGGATGTGGCCAAAAACCTGTTTTCGAGAGAAAACACACAAACAGTGAGAGAGAGAAGAGAGAGAGAGAGAGAGAGAGAGAGAGAACGTGTGTGTGTGTGTGTGTATGTGTGTATGTGTGTATGTGTATGTGTGTATGTGTACTACTGTGTCCAAAAAGTAAGGTGACATTGCATTTAAAATTTAGCGCGCTGGGGAATTTGAAAAAATCCTTTTATTTTTAGGTTGGTAGGACTGTCTTTGACATCCCTGCCAAATTACACGTCAAAATATTCATTAGTGTTTGAGATACGCTTCGTTTTGTGGACTGCTAAAAGTGAATTTCTCGTTTTTTGCGATGTCGAAATTTGTTGATCAAAGAATTTGCATTAAATTTTGTTTGCGGAATCAATTTTCTGCTGCGGATTCGTTGAGGATGGTGCAGAAAGCCTTTGGTGATGAGGCTATGTCGAAAAAAAATGTTTACAAGTGGTATAGTGAGTTCCAAGCAGGCCGTGAATGTGTCGAAGACGAAGAGCGTGCTGGGCGACCATCAACCTCAACCGACGAAGCTCACGTCCAAAAAATTAAAGATTTGGTGTTGGAAAACCGTCGATTAACGATTAGAGACCTTGCTGATGATATTGGCATATCGAAAGGCTCAGTCAATACCATTTTGAAGGATGTTTTGGGCCTCAAACGCGTCAAATCTCGACTGGTACCGAAATCATTGAATTTTTTGGAAAAAAGGTGTCGAGTTGACGTGTGTGAAACAATGCTTTCTGACTACATTGACAAGACGAAATGCATGATCACTGGAGACGAGACTTGGATCTATGCTTACGACCCGGAAACAACCGACCAATCGAGCGAATATCGTGCCAAAGGTGAGCCGAGACCAAAAAAACCGCGCCAAAGTCGCTCAAAAATCAAGGTCATGTTGACTGTTTTCTTCGATTATCGGGGTGTTGTGCATTATGAGTTCCTTCCCCCGGGTCAAACAGTCAACAAGGAATATTATTTGAGTGTTATGCGTCGTTTGCGTAACGCTATCCGCCAAAAGAGGCCGGAATTGTGGAAAGACAACTCTTGGTTTTTGCACCATGATAATGCATCGTCTCACAATGAGATCATTCTTCGTGAACATTTCGCCAAAAACTCGACTCATATCGTTCCACAACCACCGTATTCACCTGATTTGGCACCGTGCGACTTCTGGCTGTTCAACAAGCTCAAAAGACCGCTCCGGGGACACCGTTTTGAGACGATAGAGCAGATTGAAGCCGCAGCGAAGACGGAGCTGAGGGCCATCCCTGACGTCGACTTTTTCAACTGTTTCGAAGATTGGAAAATCCGTTGGCATAAGTGCATTGTATCGGGAGGGGATTACTTTGAAGGCGATGAAATTGATTTGGAAGAATAAATAAAGAATTTTCAAAATAAATGCAATGTCACCTTACTTTTTGGACACAGTAGTATGTGTGTATGTGTGTACGTGTGCACTAATACTAAAAAACGTGGACAGAACCGCTATTTCTATACTACTCAAATCCAAAACATAATACAAATCAAAAACAATTTACTTGGCGGTCGATATATTTCTATAGCTCTCTTCGAACGCAATTGTTGGTGTTGTTGCTGATGCTGAATATCAGGCTGCATTGTGAAAGCAAGACTACGTCTCTTGTTCTGGTGGTTTTGTGTACGCACGAAGCTGCGTTCGCGTGTCAGTCCTGATGTTGCACCACCAACTACAAAACCTTGCATATTTTTACCATTCGATACCATCTCATTGGCCATTTCGAAGTATTTTTTACAACTCGTTTATACTTATATTTTTTTGCATAAAACACAAAATTGTTGCTTACAAAGTTATATCACATTCAGTTGCACATTTTTGACTACTTCTTCTTTATTATATTTAGCTTTGAATGTTAAACCTGCAAAAACAACAAGATAATTTTATCCATACATTTTTTTATATTTTGGATCATTCACATAATTCTCGTTTGTATGCGAAACACCAATACAATTCCAAAGACGGAATCAGATTTGTGCTGTTCAAAGCCGTGCTTTGTGTATAAACATTATAGGAGTACTGTAAATATTTTCGTCGCACATTTTATCAAAACTCATTTACTAAATCAGAATGAAATTTCCATTTTTTTTCCTTCATTATTGATCATCAATTTGTGGCATCTTAGTCACCTTCACTGATAAACGTGGGCGGTTTACAAAGAGTCAGCTGTTGTTGTGAATGCATATTCTGTGAGGCAGATGTTTTGAAAAGCGTTTGGTATATCAATCTGTAAAAATACGTAGACAGGGAACGGCGTTTATTTTAATCATTTGTGTTGCGACGAAACTTATTTCGACAACAGAGATACCAATTTAGAAATTGATGCGGTTCGA